CACTCCAGTCTGGGCGACAGAGTGAGACTCCGACTCAAAAAAAGAAAAAAGAAAAAAGAATAATGACTGAAAGAACAAAGATCTGCCAAGGACAGAACCGGCTTCTCAGAGGAAGCTATTGATAATTCCAACCCCCTCCCAGCTTGTTTTGTAAAAAGGTTAATTCAATCAGCCCCCATGACCCTCACGGCACAAACCCCGCCACCACGGCAGCGGTCATGCGACTAACCCACCCATCTGCCTGGGTCCCTCACCTGACATCAGTACCTGTGCTTACCTGCCCTTTGTGATGACATGAGGTAGACTGCCACCACTTCATCTTTTTCTTTTTTTTTTTTTGAGTTGGAGTCTCACTGTCGCCCAGACTGGAGTGCAGTGACCGCTTCCGGCCACCACAGCCTCCACCTGCTGGGCTCCGGCGATCCTTCCGCCTCAGCCTTCCAAGTAGCCGGAATTACGGGCATATGCTACCTGCCCGGCTGATTTTTTTATTTATTGTAAAGATGAGGTCTCGCTGCCCAGGCGGGTCTCGAACCTGCGGGCTCAGGCAATCCACTCGCCTCAGCCTCCCAAAGGCGTGGGATTACAGGCTGAGCCACCGAGCCCAACCCCACTGGGATTTTTAACCTAACAATAATAATCACATAATGTTTAAAATGTATCATTACTTATTGACTCCTTAACTTCTAAAGGAGATACATTTAACATGAATTGCTTGAGGTCAGGGGTTTGAGACCGGCCGGGGCAACAAAGTAAGACCCTGGCTCTGCAAGAAATAAAAAAAGCCCGGTCGCGGTGGCTCAAGCCTGTAATCCCAGCACTTTCGGAGGCCGAGGTGAGAGGATTACCAAAACTCAGGGGTTCGAGACCCGCCTGAGAAACTTAGTGAGACCTCGTCTCTACCATAAATCAAAAAATAAGCCGGGTGTGGTAGCGCACGCCTGTAGTTTGAGCCACTTGAAAGGCTGAAGCCAAAGGATCGCCTGAGCCCGGCAGGTCGAGGCTGTGGTGTCTGTAAGCATGCCACTGCACTCCAGCCTGAGCAATGGAGTGAGACTCCAACTAAAAATAAAGAAACAAATAACAAGATCAGCGGAGTGTGGTGGCGCGTGCCTATCGTCCCAGCTATTCGGGAGGCTGAGGCGGGAGGATCACTTGAGCCCAGGAGCCCAAGACCGCCGTGAACTATGATCGCACCACTGCATGCCAGCCTGGGTGACACAGCCAGAACCTGTCTCTTAAAAAAAAATAATGACGCCGGGCCCGGTGGCTCAGCCTGTGATCCCGTGCCTTTGGGAGGCTGAGGTGAGTGGATGGCCTGAGCCCGCGGGTTCGAGACCCACCTGGGCCACTTGGCGAGACTTCATCTCTACAATAAATCAAAAACTGGCTGGGTGTGGTAGCACGCGCCTGTAATTCTGGCTACTCGGAAGGCTGAGGGGGAAGGATCGCCGGAGCCCAGCAGGTCGAGGCTGCGGTGGCCGGGAACGGCCATCAAAAAATAATAATAATAATAATAATAATGACAACGATGGTAATCAAAAAGTAAATAAAAATGGAAAGAGGTACTTTTATCAGTCCCACTTTATGGATGGGGTGACTGAGGCATAGAGAGATGACATGAGACGTCCAGGGTTCCCAGCAGGTAAGTGGAGGGAACCAGGATTTGAACTTGGCTGAGTCCAGAGCCCTGAGCTCCGTGTGAGTGAGCATCAAGCCTCCTCCAGAACAGGAAGGTTTTTTCTTTGTTGTTTTTTTTTTGAGTTGGAGTCTCCCTCTGTCGCCCAGACTGGAGGGCAGGGGCCGCTCCC